TCCCAACCCAGGACCCGAAATCACCGACCACGCACACCCCAACCCCGGAACAAAGCGCCATAACCGTGCTCATCGACGCGCTCGTCAACATCCGCACCGAACTAGCCTTCTTCGAGAAAACCGCCAACGACTACAACCTCGATCTAACAGCAATCTCCGCTGAAGAGGGCGGCTGCTCCCTCACCTCCTGCGGCCAAGGCTCGGACATCACCGTCTCAGCCGGTATCTGCTCCATCGGCTCCGGAAGCTGTCCGGGGATCACGGGCGGCGACGAGGAAGGCCCACCAGCGGACGGGGAGGGAAATGCGGGCGGCGAGCAGAGCGGCGCGCCCGGCCACGGCCTGTGTCAGAGCCAGGGAGAGTGCCAGATGCCGTCTGGTGGGGGGCTTTGTGTTCCCGGACCGCAGTTCAGTGAGTATGGGCGCGATATCGACCCTTCTCCTTCGGGCGGGGAGGGGTGTGGGACTCTTTTCTTCTGCGCGAGTCGCACCACTCGGGGTTACATTGATATGTTCATGTCGGCGGGGAGTAGTGGGGTTTCGATCTTGGAGGGCATGGCGGTGTTGTGGGCTACGGAGATTTGTTATCTTCGGTCTTGGAGGTTTGCGGCGGAGTGTATGCGGGAGGATCGGAATACGGATTATAAGAAAGATGCGGATGGGGGTGCGTTAAGGGAGAAGTTTATTGGGAATTGGTCGAGTGCTGAGTTTGAGGAGTTTGTTAATCGGATTGGGGATGTGGTTGATGAGATGGCGGGGCAGATTAAGGGGGCGGAGGAGTTGGAGATTATGCGGGGAAGGTGTTTGGAGTGGTGGAGGCAGATTGTTTGGTTGGAGGAGAACTTTTGGCCAAATGCTGCTAAATGATGTAGAGTTGACTGATCAACTCTAGATCCACTTTAAATGTCACTATCTCTAGGTTGTGCACATGCTGTCGCGGTTGAAAAATATTGTATGTAGAATATCATACATCTGACTTGAATCCCATGTGCACAAGGCTATCTAGAACGGGATGACGAGCAAAAGCAAAGTAGACAAAAACAATAACGCCGTCCACAGACCGAGGCAAAATCAAATCAAAACTCCGATCCGGTCTTGCTCTCAAACCAATGACAATGTCATCGAGCAGACCGTCAAAACACAAGTATAAAAATGACAAAATCCACCAACACCATTCGTAATGCGAAAGCATGAAGCATGAAGCATGAAGCAAGTAGTAAAACACATGGACACAGTCTGGAAAGTGGACATGTTGTACATCACAAAATAAGACAGTCTGCACCAACCATCGTAGGCAACATCACGTAGCAGCCGCACGGGCAGCATTGCCTAGTTGTCGATGGTATGAGCCGATAGGTTCGAAACCTCTGAAAATAGTATTAGTTTCTGCGCGCCGACCGAGTGTATAAAAGAAAACCTACCTAGCAAGATCAAACCCCGATCCATTATCATCATCATCCTCCTCTTCTCGCTCTTCATTCCTCGCATGAGACGTCCCGTTGGGTCCCATATCCCCCGAATCTGACTGGAGCGGGGGCAGAGTCCGACCGGAGCCAAGTCCATTCGACGTCCCGGGTTTACTAGGACTAACGAGATTCGGCGGCGGGGGAGAGCTACTCGGGAACCCGCCGATAATGCGGTCCTCGACCTCGCCCTTCAGGGGACTCATGTCCGGCGGCGGGCGGGCAGGGGTACTCCCGATATCAGCGAACTTCCAGAACTGCGCGGGCGAGCTCATGGGCATGAACTTCGACGGGATCTGCGCGGTGCTGGGGGGCGGGAGACGGGGCTGTTGCCGTTGTGGGGCAGGAGTAATCATCGAAGAGGGCTCTTCGTTGTAGTAGGATGAGGAGAGGACTGGCGGAGACCCGGCTACATTGTCGGACATGCCATACGCGCGGGCCAGGTTGTTGCTGCTGTTTTGGACCTGCGTGGAGATGCTGGAGTGGTGGTTGTGCGAGCGCGACGGGAGCGGCGAGGGTTCATCGTAGTCGCGTGGGTTCATATGTCGCAGTGGGTGGTCGGAGCCGAGCCCTCGGCCGAGCCGGGAACCACGCTCTGGTGTGTATGCTTCCACTGGAGCTACGGGAAACGAGCTGAAGCCCGGGGACGAAACGGGTGGCGACTTTCTCGCTGTTGCTGAGAACGAGGTGTCGATTTTGCTAACGTGAGTTCCGCGTGCTGATGACGGGGGCTCTTTCGTCGCCGGTGAGGACGGGGCAGATGACTGCGTGCCGCCCTTGCGTGTTTGCTTCTTCCGGTACTCCTCCCGATACTCTACTGCGATCTGCCACTTCATACCCTTGCCCGGCTCGTCGGTCCGGCGGGGAACCTTTTGGAACGCCTTGTTCAGCGAGAGATTGTGGCGGATGGAGTTCTGCCAGCCGCTTTGGGAGTGTCGATAGAACGCGTATTTATCCATAATCCAATTGTAGATACTGTTCAGTGTGAGCTTCTCCTCCTCACTCGAGAAAATAGCCTGAGCGATTAGAGTCGCATAGCTGTACGGCGGCTTCAGGTCCTTGGAGGAATCCTTGCTGTAATCGATTTCCTCCGTGCTCTCCATCATCATGCCTCGGTTGTAAAGCGGGGACTGCTTAGCCGTGCGCTGGCCGGCGGTATCGGGCGATCGCGGTGGGGGCGTCACCTGGCGCTTGTTGAACTTCGGAGCAGGCGCCAACGAGGGCCCGCCAGACGATGATGGTCGTGTAGCCTCGCTGTTCTGGGAATGCTGAGGATGGGCATGCTGTGAAGCATCCCAGGCAACCGAAGCTGGATCGGGCTCCTGTCCGCTCGCAATGCGCTGCGCGCGCTCGATAAAGCTGGGCTGGATATTGGCTTCGTCGCCGGGCGTGACAAACATCATTTGTGTATTGGCCACCTCGATGATGTCGCCACATGAGAGAATCGCATCGGTGCCGCGCTTCACAATTGCATTGTTCAAGCGCACACCATTCCGGCCATTGACCCGGATGTGCCAGGCAGGGGTTTCCTCGCCATCATAAAAGATCTCAGCATGCAGTCTCGACACGAATTTGCTGGGGCCCAAGTCGACATGAACATCGGGAAGCGCACGAGCCGCAATTGTGACGGGGCTAGACTGTTCCACAGTCCGCTGTTCGCGGTCCGGTTCACGGCCGATATTGACATGCAGTGTTTTGACGTAATACGTCCAATTGCGGCCGGCAATCTTAGCATACGCCTGGATGCGCTGTGTATTCTCGGTCTTGGTGTTGGAGTGGTCGCGCGAGACGCGCAATTCCTCGCGGGGGGTGTTCAGATATGAAATCACTAGATCGACGAGGTCTTGATTGGTAGCGGGTTCGTGTTCGCCCGTTGAGTCCTCGGCTTCGTCGGCGGACTCATGTTTGACGTTTCGAGGAGGGGAGGTGCGGCGGTCAACCTGCGGATCAGAAGAAATCTAGTCTTAGCTCCTGTTTGCGCGGGGATCTATTCGGTCTCAAACTAAACGCTCCGTTGTTCTAACTCACCTTGCGCTTCTTCGCGGATGGCCGGCTGGGTGATGAGTCCGGAGCCTCTGCGTCGGAGGTTTCTTGCAGTTGAATTTCCTTGCGGCGCGCGCGGCGGCGGTTTGTAAGCGGCATTATGTATAGACGTTCACTCTTCTTGGTCTCCGGTATGATATAATAGACAACCAAAGCCGGAGTATTTTTTCCCTCCCGTTGCGTAGGCAATCAAGTCCGAGTCGAAGTACTCCACAAACAAGCGCGGGGCACTAGAAAGGAAATATGATGGCAAGCCAGAGGCGAGAAAAGGCAAAACACAGTTTAAATAAAAACAAAAGTCTTCCAAGGTTGGAATCGGATTTCAGCGCCTCCAGAATCGGTTCAGAGGTAGAACCAGAGAACGAAGAACGTCGGAGCATAGATTTGCCACCACGGAAGAAAGGGAAAGGAAAAAAGGAAAAAAAAGAAGCCCAGATAGACTGTAAACAAGATCAAGAGGCTGGATATCTTTTTTTTTACAAAAAACTCCCCCAATCGAAAGGTTGATATTGTGTGGCTGGATGTTATTATCGATAATCCCTAGGCCGATCGACACGCGCAATGGCGTCTGTTTGGGTGACCGCCTTGTCGCGTAACGTGTATGACACAGCAGAAAAGGATAGAAAGGAGAAGGGAATGGAGGGATGAAGGGAATGAAGAGAGAGAATATAGGAAAGACAAGAGAAGGAAAACAAAGTGTACAAGTAAGAAAAGAAACCGAAGTGCGATTGGGGATGTGACCGTAAACAGAGTGGTGGAGTTTGTGGTAATAACGGTGTATGGATACAGGGAAAACTGTCCGGGAGGCGGAGATAGGACTGAAATACCAATACCAGCACGTGCTCAGCGTGGGATTGGGATGCTTCCGAGTGCAGAAAGTGGGACTTCTTCATATCCAGATGCAGAGATGTTCTATGTTGATATTCTATGATGCCTACATAAGGATGCAGTTGGTGTAGATATCCTGTTTCTTTGTCTTTATTGTTCTTACTATGCACATATCCATGTCTAACACCTGTCTTAACAGCTAATTTAGATTTCCCTCCCTCATACATACACAAATTCTCAGATCAATAAAAATGAGATCTGCCCGTTTGCGTCATCCCCCGGATCTGGCTTAGCTTGAAATGTTGATTTGCCTCTTTGGGTTTGACATGTCGATCTACGGTCACATCGCTTTCGATCTTCTAACCCTGAAAGGGTCTACAGGAAAGAGTCAAGACGCAAACAACACTTTACGTAAATAAACACTTTAAACAGTTCAAAGGGTCTCATGGAGCGCTACCTAATATTCATACAAACAGGAACGACGCAAGATGAAAGCACCGGAAGAGTATCAGAAAGAAAGCGGAAAATTTCTTCGTAAGAAAAATTAAAGCCTTCAAAGAACAAAGAAGACCAGGTAGAAAGGGGGTGTAGAGCGGAAGGCAATAAACAAATGTCGTCACGGCGTGAAACAAGCTATGGCCAATAAAGGCAGAAAGAGCGGAAAGATTTACTGAGGCATCTTGGCGTCCCCATCCTCGTCCTCATCCACACCACGTAACATGGGATAGAAGACTCTCTCAGCTGCAGAGTTGGCGTGCTCTTCCTGGGGCTTCTCAGAACCGGCACGTGCACTGGCAGTCTCAACTCCCTCCATGGCATCGAGTCCGGGCGGAGAAGCCGAAGAACTCTGCACTCCATATTCAGCAGTAAGGCTACCGGCCTCGAGCAATTCAGAAACCAAGCGACGGAGGTTCTCAAGCAGGCGGACCTTTTCAACCCAGGCAACGTTGACATCGCGCTCGGCGACTTCAGTGGCCGCTTGCGCAGTACGCTTGACATCCTCCTGGTCGGGATCAGACGAGGTACCCGACAGAGCGGGGTCAATCAAGCTCTCCGAGATGTGAATAGCCTTGGGAGTGCGCTCGCCGTCATCCTTGACATCATGGGAGATATCCATGCGGTCCTCGGTGGCAGCACGGTCGGCCGGTCTCGCGCGTTGCAAGGTACCGCCGGTGTAGCGGCGGCGGTCGTCGTGGTCATACGCGCCGCTCAGGGTAGAGGGCGGTGCGGCACCTGAGGCGGTCGGGTAGCCTGCGGTCATGCTGTCGGCGACGGTAGTCGACGGCAAGCGGGGGTACATACCCGGGCCGCTCTCGTGAGGGGGCGACACGCGGTGAGCATGGTGCATGGAGATAGGAGAGCGGTTGGAGGTGTATGACTGTGCGCTGGAAGGCGGGGTCAAAGCTGGGGTGCCGACCGATGGGGAGTGGGCCGAAGCAGCCATGGGGGCTGAGCTAGTTGCAGTAACGTGGCTTGGCGGGAGCTGGGTCGGGGGGAGTGAGTGGCGCGATAGTTCATGCCACCATGCACGTAATGCGCGCCGGGCTGGGCAATGCCGGCAGCCGCCACATTCTCATCGCTTTCGTAGATTGTATTCTGCATTTGCTCGAGGAATTGATCGATGTTGATTAAATCGTTCTTAGTCCGAACATTTGACATGGGGGGAAGGTGGTAGCCCGGAGCCTGAGAACCACCAGGGCTGTAACCACCACCGCCGCCGCCGACCGCAACAGACGCAGGCATTTGCTGATATTCAGGCACAGGGCCATTGAGGAAGGGAAGCTGAAGGGCCTGCAGACCCAACAGACGCTGGCCGACCGCGGCATAAGAATTAGGGTCGAACTGGCGGCGCTTCAAGTCGCCAAAAAACTCGTTCAACGCATCATATCCACGCTTACGATCATAAGGGTGACCTCCCTCTTGTCCTTGGCTCAGGGCATAGTACACATTGCCGTAGGAATGCGGGTTGGGGGCCTGAGGTGGGGGGTGTGGCTGGTAGTACTGTGGGGGCGGTGCGTGCGAATACTGCCCATTGATGCCGTTGATAGGGCTCTCGAAGTAATGTGTGGCAGCAGCATAACCCTTAGGGTTCTGAGGGAACATCATATCCGGATGCTTCATGCCCGGTTCCGGAGAGCGGATCTCCGAGTCGTCGGCATGGGTCTTGACATGCTTCTTCAGATCCTGAGGTCGCTTGAAAGCCTTACCACAGAAGTCACACTTGTGAGGCTTGAGCGGCACGTGAACACGGATGTGGGACGTGATATGATCACGCTTGACTGTGGTGGTGTTGCAAGTACCCCACTGACAGGTCAGGTTGAGATTGTTGGTGCTTTTACGTCCAACATGTCGCTCACAAACATGCTCCTATCCGTTATTAGCATCTTTTTTCAATTGAAATTGATTGATCCCACTTACATATAGAGACTCGGCATTGGGTGACTTCTCAGTGCATCCGACCCACTGGCACGGCAGCTGCTCACTGGCGGCCGCAGCAGCGGCGGCGACGGTCGCTGAGACCGAGGCGGAAGGAGGTGAAGTGGCCTGGATGGCCGCCTGGATGGCCGCCGGCTCAGTCACCGGCGCCGGCACGGCTGCTTGGGTAGAAGGAGAATGGTTCTCCGTCATGATGCCAAGAAATTGGATTAGTTGGCGGAAATCCTAGAAAGCAAATGAGAGGAGAAAACAGAAAAAGGATCTAGCGACTACGAGAAGAAAGACCCGATATGTATACAAGAGGAAAGAGGAAAGGAGAGAAAACGGGGACTCCGCAGAAGAGGAAAAGGAGCCGAGCCTTTGCCCAGAAAATACCGCGTTGCTAAGCCTAGCGGAAAGACAAGGAGAGAAATGCGAAGACCAAGACCGGGCCAAGAGCCTGTGCGGGCCTCCAGAACCGAGAGGCGTTGGCGCCATGGCTTTTGACTGGTGGACCGAGGAGGGGACGAGGGGCTGTGGGTGAGCATTCCAGGGCTAACACGTACCACCGTAGGGTACAGTACGGGGGGATGGTACGTGGGGTACAGTACGGTATGTATTTTAATAAGATTTGATCTCTGGCCGTCTATAACTGGCCTGTCCTGTCTAGTAAGCGAGGCTAAATCAGTTAGTGCACTTGCTGCGGAGTACCGAAATTAACCAGTTCACGGCAATGTTGCATAGAAACATAACGTTGCCGAGAAAGAAACAGAGTTGCCTGTTCATATTGCCAAGCCAACTTCCAAGAATCATCCTAATAGGCAGTGCTTCTTGGCAGCCAAGTGATTCCTCTTGCCAATAATTCCCGCTCCGGAGCACCAAGACTCAGGTCTTGGACTCTTGGAGTCTTGGTATGACCATATCCCTTTCGTATTAACTTTGTTTCTGGGTGTGACGAGTCTGATTAAATCTGGTTGCCTGGTGCCCTTGTTACGGCCGGTATGCATGAGTCGGTCGGTTTCGGATTTGGATCACCACGTCTGAAGGTATTGCCATGTAACCATATGTTCTGGCTTCTATATTCTCTACATCCTATATATTCTATATTTCTCTAGTCTAGTTTTCTATTCTATTCTATCGGTAACATTTCGCCTGACATGTCAGACCCCAACTATACAACTTACTAAGATCAATCATCCCGAGGTCTTCACAAGGGCCTAGCCCAAGCATTCCAATCCTCCTTGGAACATGGCTTGGCCATTGGCTTGGCCAGCCGAACCCGAGGCAACCACGTGGACGTCTGAGCTCCGCACAAGTACCACAAGTGCCACCTTACTTTCCCGAGCGGTACCTCCGCTTTGGCTGATACCAACTCCAAACGTTCAACCCAACCTTCGTCCCCTTTGTCACAGGGAACGCAGCGTGCCAAGTCTCAGGGTACCCTGTTCCGTCCGGCCGAAGGTTCTCCCAAAACACCGCATTACCCTTGATAGGCTTGAATGTGATCCCCATGTCATTCCCCTTCTCATCCCGCTGCTCACACTCCAAAAACTGACACCACTTCTCCCCAGCCGGCATCCTCAACCGCGGGAAATTCGTCCCCCCACCTTCACAGTCCGCGTCGATATACACCATAAACGTGCTGAAACGGTCCCCCCCGCGCGCCAACGACCCGGCCCAGTCATAGTGATGGCGGTAGTGCCCGGAGGCATTGTAGCGCTGCGCCCACATGCGCTCGATGTACAAATCCGGGTGCCAGCCCTGGAAGCGGCGGGCGCGGTCTTCCAGGCAGCGGACTGTGTCGTCGCGGTCGAGGAGGGCACGGTCGGAGAGGCGTTTGGTCGGGTCTACCCGTTCTGTTTGGCCGTCGTAGACGATTGAAGGGGTGTATTTGTTCACGCTGGGATTCGGGGGAGGGTTGTCCGGTTAGCTTGGTTATTTTGTGTGTGTGTTTTTGTGTGTATATCTGTGTTCTCGGGGATTTGGTTGCGGTTGAGATTGGTGAGTTACCTCATGTCCAGGATATGGTTTGCTTCGGTTTCGGAGATGAAGTTCTCGATGTATATGATCAGCGGTTCGCGTGAAAGGAGATGCACGCGGTACTCCTCGGCGCTGGCGCAGCGGAATGGTACGCCATCTTCGGGGCTGATGAAGCTGTCGTCGGTCAGGTTGATGCCCGGTCCTGGTGCGCTGGACTCGTCGAAGAGGTCGTCGCTGTCGCTGGGTGGTGCCACTAGGCTCGGGAAGAATCCGCGCACTACCGGGTCGAGGATGAAGATATACAAGGGGACGAAGTAGAGGGCCCAGGTCAAGACGGTGGAAAGCTTTGGAAGTGACCCCATTAGGTTGCTATAAATAGTCCCGGCGATATGTATGTTGTAGGCCAAGTAAATGTACAGGAGGTTTGGACTGTTAGCTCTCCATGCGACCGGGGTGGAGGGTTGCAGATGCCAATTGATCTGTCTTTGTGCAAAGATGAAGGCCCAAGGGCAATGCAAGAAGTATATGATCAAGAAAGAGTGTTGTAGGGCAAGGCCATCTTGCGAAGGAAAGGGTTTGGACGTTGAGGTGGAAATGTCGAAGTATGTGGGTCTAGGCTAGGCTCTAGCCCGAAGTTAACGATGAGCAGACTTCATTGGAAAAATAGCTACATATGTGACTATACGTACCGGATTTTCCCTGGCAGGTAGGGCTTTCCTATTTGAGCTGCCGCCGCTTTTATAAGGGTGCTCAGTAGATGTCAGCACAGGCCAAGATCAGTGATCATACTCAGATCAGTCACGTACAGAATGACTGTTGCTCAGTGAGCAAAACTGATACACTTAGCCCACCTCAGACTATACCCAGAAGGGATTAGCCCCCACAGGGTCGTTTATACTATGATAGTTAGTTCGCTGATAGGATTGCTGCTGCCCTCATTTTCCGGAGCACTTTATCTTATCAAGAAAATACATCATAACAGAGGGGCGCAGGAAATAGCGGAGAACCCCATCCGTTTCAGGATATTGTCTCCTTTTGTCTTCTAATTAAGAGCGGCTCGGGCTCGAAATCTTAGATATAAAAGCAGAACGTATGCTAACATTAGCATATAATCATTCACACGCCTTCTATTCAAGAACCTTTTACTTGGTACCTTGATCTAATATCGCGTTCTGTTACTTTAAATAAATTCCGTGCCTCTACCTACACCACACGTGATTATGGGTAGAAAAGACTTTTTTACTGAGCGCGATAAGATTGCTAAGACGAAACGCCGTTTACAGTAGGAAAGGAATGGCTATATTCCTAGAGCCCACAGATAGGAGGACTCAATTCGGGAGAAAGATAGAAGACTTCCTCAGACCAATACTTTATATCGTGGAACTGTAAATCTTTGGCTGAAGTGAGTTTAGCTATATCTAAGGTGGCAATTCCTTCCCATATATAAATAAGGCTGACCTTCCCTTAGATTCATTGTAGATCCAGAGAATGGGTTTAAATACTACAAAACTTCCCTTAGTTGTTCGGCTCCAACTCATAAAATGATCAAGGAATTCATTCGCTGGTACGCCAGTTCTATTTAAGGACGACTGAACGAGGATAAGCTACCCACAGTGAGAACCATAAGTATATATGCCGAACGGTTCTTCGGTGGATTTGAACAATTTATAAAAACTAAAATTATCCTAGATGATCGAAACTTCTCAGATACTCAGTCAGTTATCTAATGAAAGGTACATGCAATCGGACTCCACAATGGCCCTACTAATCCGCTGCAGGCGAATATAGATAACACAGTATAAAAGGCTAGAGGCGTTCCCGCTGCGCAATGGCGCTAAGTCTACGCCACTTTTCAGTAAGAGAAATCCCGAGTTTTTGAAAGGCTTTTGTATTTGTATTAGGGGAAGTAGGCCGAAATACTGGTTTTAATAGGCCAGGACGGCCTCGAAGATACTGCTATTAGAAGATCTATATCACATCCGGGAAATACTCTCTCCTTATTCGTCCGGATTTTAGATCAAGGGTCCCGGGAGCATCTCGAGTATAACATAAATACTCAACCGGTCCACCTTCCCGGAACCATACTTCAATATTTCAACAGAATCCATTCTAGATACCTACTACCATATTATTAGATGAGGACTTCTGTGTAAGACAATCAACTCTAGGTTTCTCTGTAGTTATATACTAATTTATAAAGTTCCCTTTCCTAAAAGCCAGCCTCTAAGCCGCCGAAACGACTTTAATTGCTTAACAAGTATGGCTTCTGGGCATAACAGAGGTTAAACAAGCAATAAAGCGGCAGTATGAACCTAATGCTAGAACTGTATCCCTTATCTCTACCTACTAGGCCCTTAGAAAGTATCGCCACTAGCCCTAGGGGAAACGCAGAGCTTTGGCTAAGAATAATATACTGAGGAACTATGCGCACTGTATAGCAAGCAAGCTCACTGCTCATGATTTAGCTATACTTTCCCTTCTCGCCTGGCATTTTGATTCGAAAATGGTGCCTCTCCCCCAGAGGCTTCTTATATTCTTCGCCGACCCCTATAAGCAATTTGACACAGTGTGCCGATCTATTTACCGCAGCTACACGAAAATGTATGTACCGGATACGTTGGCAAACTTCGAGGGAAGCTTGAGGAAATTGTTAGGGCTATTAGAATGGAACGTGATCAGAGGCGACGCGGTCTTGTATACCTAGATTTGACCCTCTGTTAAGACCTTGCCATATCATACTAGTAAATGAGAAATAAAAAAGACAGCAGATATACGCTGAGCTTCAATGAAATCACCTGCCTCAATACCAACTTCAATCACTGAATGTCATACCACACTTCTAACTACTTTCCTTTACTATTCTGATCTATACCTATCAAAGTTTCTTATGGGATGTGCGAGCCAAAATTGAGGTTGGACTTTTTCTGCCGTTGCCTATTGTGCTGTTAGTTTGTCATCCGTCGACGAGTTTCCTCTGCAACATAATTTTCTCACTCAATGGGATCTATATCTTAATCACGGCCAACAGCATTGTATCGGTTACTTCTCTTCCTGGGACTGTTTGATCATCAGTCTTAATATATGGGGTTTGTGTTGTGTGAAAAGACTCACGACAATTGTCAAGTACAAACTTAACAGAGAAACATTTGTGGTAAGAGCGGCGTCCTGGGCGTCCTAGATCATCTTCCAAGGGAAGATCACCTTCATTTATCTGGAATCCAATGGCAACCCGGTAGCATTGAAGGAATTCGGGAAAATCTTTCTTCGTGATTAGACTAAGACCTCTGTGGATATCGTCCCCTTCATTCCCTTCACCTCCTTCTCCTTCCTTTCGATAATAACGGTAGCACGCAGTTGGATCTGGAAAGAGTTGAAAGCATCGCGGACAAATAAATTCCAAGCCTGTTTTTACCAGAGCTCGAAGCAAGATTGCGAGCCACCTTTCCACGTCAGACATCTTGAAGCAAAGTGATAGAAGCAACCAGGAAACAGAAGGCTGACAATTTGACAAAAGTCTACTCTTTATAGGCGAGGGCCGGCTCGCCAGCGCATCTTCACAGATCCAAGCACATTAGTAAATGCACTTGCCGAATAGAACTAGCAGTGGGGATGCAAGATAGCACTCCTGCAAAATTTTGATTAAGATATTGATACGAAAACGCTTGGAGTGACACAGCCTCGACTGATTGTGGCCTTTGGTTTAATTTTGTTCCAGCATAGGTACTAGTTTACAGCTGCTCTTACAACCTCGCATATCAAATGTCCAAGTATTTTACTGGCCTTATAATTCAAGTTAGCCTCATGATGACACTATCTAGGATATGAAGCTGAGCGGATCCGGGACTGTCTGAAAGCGAGGTCTTCAAGCAAGAGCTTGGATTTGGAGGGCTCAGTTGCAGGCCGTGTTCCACTAGGAGATCCCATCCAATGGAAGATCTGATCATCTCCGTCTGTGAAACCCGGTAGTGTTCGAAGCGCAGTTTGTTAAGAACATAAGGTGATCCGACAATCTTCTCCTCACTCCTCCTTTCGTGTTGAACGATGTAATACGTCTCCAGATCTTCGCCGTCTTCTGGTATGACTTCGTCGAGTATGCGCAACGGACGAGACTTCGAATCCAGAATTTCGGCAGAAATAGATTCAGCGGAAGGACCAAGATTCATCCTCGGAGGCTGATAGCTCCCTTCTGTATCAATCGTTAATGGATTGCCCTTTCGATTTACCAAAGGAGTATACAAACCTTGAGAGTTTTCCCGTGACTGTTTCCTTATCACCCCGCAGCATCGAAAGAGCCCGAAGATACCAGACCAAAGGGTATTTAGTATATCCATATTTCGCACAAGACTTTAGGTATTAAGATAAAAAAAGATATAAAACTTCGTAGGGAGGCTTTAAAAACAGTGAGGTACTCAATTGAAGGATCCGCGACGTCGAGACCGTATAGATATGCAAGATTATATACCCCTAGATCGTACCAATGTTGCGATACTACCCCTGTCCTCACCATTAGCTATGTTCATTCGATTCCAGGGCCGGCTTCACCATCTTGCCTGTGATATGGGGCTGGGCTGATCAGAAAATTAACTACCTTCACAACCTTCACAACCCCTGCAGGACGTAGCCTTTCTACGCACTCACACACCACAAAGTCTAAATTCAATTCTAATTCAAGCCACTGTTCTAGGGTGTTTCTGTATGATTTGGTGGTGCCACAGTAACCTGCCTGGGTCCCTGTGGTCGTTATTTTGTTTCATAAATCAAGTTCGAAACGCAGCATCCATTACATATCTATAATTGGTTGGTTCAGAATTGACGGTTAAGAAGCGGTTTCATTGGCTGACTACTGTGCTCAACGATAATTCTCGAAGCGTCTTCCCAATTTCTCACGCGTCCTCTCTTTTTCTCACGCATCTGCTTATTTTCTCCCGTCTTCTTATTTTCTCACGCGTCATCCCTTTTTATCACAAGCCCTCGATTATTAACACTTTATCTGTTCCGACTTCTATATTTTTTTGATCGTGGCACCTCAAATTACCGTCTTGTAAGATGGTGGAAAAAAGGGCATTCGACTGTGAGGGCACTCAGCCTGCCATCAAGTCCAAAGCCGCGAGGTTCAATGCCCATATATTGAAAAAGCTACAAGCTGCAGTCACGAAAGATCCAGAGATCAACTTGGCCGAGCAATTCCCCGCAGAATATCTACAACGTCTCATGGAAATGAGAAAACCAATGGAAAGCCCTCCGAGTAAGCACCACAATACTACAATTCAGTCCTCCCTTCGTTCGCGTAGCTAACACTGTTATGTGCCAGAGAAATCCAAATATAGTCCCCAGGGTCTTTCCAAAGCCGATGAAGACATCCGACGAACGCTCTGCCCATCAGACCCGGTTGAGATTCTCTTTCCTCTTTCGGATGCGGTTGTAAAATTACTCGAGTCGGTATCACAAACTGCGGCGGATTTGCCGGTCGGACTCTCCCAGCGGCTATTTGAAGTTCTACAGAACAGTGAAATTCTTTGGAAAGCTCCCTTCGCTCGCCAGAAAGGAGTTTTCAAATGCTCCGCAGAAATAGTTGTCAAAGCGGTTCGCAACATAGAGCACTACACTGAATACACCACGTTGCAATATCTTGATCTTTATAGGTCAAATATTCCAGCACCAAAGCCTCTTGGCTTAATGCGTATGAGTGGAATTTCACTGATTTTCATGAGTTACATACGATCTATACCGCTCGGGGAAGTCTGGCATACACTCGATTCTTGTCAAAAAACCTCTCTCAGAAACCAACTCAACACTATACTTGCAGATTTAAGAACTCTTCCTTTTATAGAAGGGACTCCTCTTGGGGGAGTCGCAGGTGAAGGCTGTAGAGATCTCAGGAGATATGTTCGAACGAGCGAGACGCCTATCACCAGCCTCGAAGATTTTGAAACATTCTTATTCTCTAGCCCGCACCCGGGCGGCAACGTGTTCATCAAGTTTCTTCGACAATTATCACTATCATTTACTAACCGTTCGGGCCCTCGCATCGTTTTCACACACGGAGACATAAGGCCAGACAATATCATGGTTGAATTAGCCGACAACAAGTATATGGTTTCTGGAATCCTTGATTGGGAATACAGCGGTTTCTACCCTGATTATTATGAATCTGTCCGATGTACAAACTGCCTCAGCCCGTACGAGGAAAATGACTGGTTCTTATATCTGCCAGAATGTGTCTCTCCAAATATCTACGCTCAGTGGTGGCTTCTCGATCGAGTCAGAGAAACTAGAGTTGTATGAGCAGGCGCATCAGCGTATTTCAAATTAGCTTTCGTACAATGAGACTATCAGACAATTGGACCCCTTTTTTCCTTCAAAACGCTTCGTGCTTCACGGTAATCTTCATCGTCCTCCTCCAGAATAAACTCATCCTCCAGCTTATCAAGGATCTCGAGCACGTAGTCCTGGCAGTCCCATTCCACCGTCTCGTTGTCTACAGGAATCGCTGACGCGACGTTCTTGATTCTCTCGATGTCGGCTTTACCGATGACTCCAACGTATTCCTTGCCTAGAAAGCTCTTAGACTTTTCAGCCTTGGCCTTCAAAACATTGCGTATGAAGTTAGGATGTTGTCCAACGACTTCAAAAATCATTGGCACGTCTTCATCGTCAACGTACAAAGCCCAATGCTGATAGTTGCCGTACACTCAGTGAGCACTTAGTGATCAAATCAGAGTGCTCAGATGATGATCAGTAAGTGGATCAGGGTGCTCATGGGATGATCAGGTGATGCTCAGTGAGCAGATCAGTTGATTATGTAATGGCACGTGATCAAGTCAGAACACTTAAGGACGTGCTCAATTTTACTCAGTGATCAAAAAGCGGCAAGAGGTGAGCACTAAAACGGAAAGGGAAAGGTCTCGAGTGCCAGGCATTATCCGGTACATATGCTGAGCTTCAATGTAGTTCCCTGCCACAACCACTAACTTCAATCACTGAATATTATACCACGCCCCCAACTACTTACTTTGCTATTCTTCTGATCTATACCTATCAAAGTTTGTTGTGGGATGTGCGAGCCAAAATTAGGGTTAAAAATTTTCTGCCGCTGCCTACATTATACTGTTAGTTTGTCATCCGTCGACGAGTTTCCTCTGCAACATACTTATCTCACTCAATGGGACCTTAATCTATATCTTAATCACGGCCAACAGCATTGCATCGGTTACTTCTCTTCCTAGGACTGTTTCATCATCAGCCTTAATACATAGGGCTTATGTTTGCGTGAAAAGACTCACAACAATTGTTAAGTACAAACTTAATAGAGAAACATTTGTTGTAATAGCGGCGTCCTAGGGCTTAATTATCGTTTACAGCTATTCTAACGGCAATATAATTTGGATTAGCTGCATGATGGCATTATCTAGGATAAAGCTTGGTGGATCAGGAACAGTTAAAAAGCGTGATCTTCAAGCAAGAGCCATTGCGCCAGGAGATTCCTTCCAACGGAACATCTGATTATTTCTGCCCGCGAAACCAGATAGTGTTCGAACCACAGTTCCTGAATAATATAAGGTGTACTTGGGACCTCTTTCTCACTCCTTCTATCGCGTTGAATGAGGTAATACGCGTCGTCTTTGCTATCATCCGGTATGACTTGGTCGAGTATGCGCAGAGTACCAGACTTAGAGTCAAAGAAAGACGTTGTATCCTTTTCGTCCAATAATTATTAGTGATATGGATTGGAAGAAGGCTGAGCGCAACAATTTGGGGATACTTACTGCAAGCCGGTCTAGATTTTCGGCAGAAATAAATTTAGCGGAAAGGCCAAGATGTAGCGTCGAAGGCTGATAGACCTCTTCTGGATCAATGGTTACTGAATTGTCTGTTATATTTATTGAAGTATCCAAACCTTCAGGGCCTTCCCATGACTGCTTTCTTGGCGCCTTGCAGCATCGAAAGAGCCCGAGCATACGAGACCAAAGGGTACTTGATATACCCATATCTCTCACACGACTGTAGGTACTGAGACAGAAGAGATATAGAGCTTTGTATTGAAACCGGAAAGACAGCACAGCACTCAATTGAAGGATCCGCGGCCTCGAGGCCGTTTAGAAATGCAAGATTATATACCGCTTGAATTGTCCCAATGGCCGTATACTACCCCTGTCCTCACCATTAGCTACGGTTATCCAATTTCAAGTCGGCTCCACCATCTTGCTAGTGATTTGGAGCCGAGCTGACCAGAAAATTGCTTTGGCGAGGGGAGGTCAAAGCGAAGTTTTGAGACAGGATTATACGATGTACATAGAAGGCTAGACTTTAGAGATCATACTGCCATCTTGGCAATCCTTGCGCGATTGTGATTAGAGGATTCTATGTAGATTAGGTTAGACGCTGGCCAATATTTGTATCGAGCCGAACAAGGGTTATGTCATTACTGTCATTGGTGAAATGATTTTTGATTAGCTGCATCTACTTCCTGTCCGCAATACAGCAAGTATTTGCCTACCAACCATAGTCATATGCCATATTGGGCCAGATTATTATTAGAGGACCTAAGGTGAGGGAGTAAGGCACTCACTTGCGACTCTACTGGGCAGAGACTACGGATTCCGTGAGTAGTAGCGTTTTCTAAACTTTTGGTCGAAGGGTGAGTCGCTATTGTATATGACTAAACACGAACAGAACAGCCTTGGCATACATGGTGAGGGTCGATTAAAGCCGACTCCCCCTTATTTCCATACTATCCTTCACCATCCACTTTACCATCCTCTTACCATCCTCCTACCATCCACTTACCATCCTCTTACCCATCCTCCTACCATCCTCCTACCATCCTCTTACCATCCACTTACCATCCTCCTACCATTTGCCATCCTCTTACCATCTACTCTACCACCCACTTTACCATCCTCCTACCATCCACTTACCATCCTCCTACCATCCTCGACATCCTCTTACCATCCTCTTACCACCCACTTTACCATCCTCCTGCAAAGAAAGATCATCCCCTGCCCTAGGACCAATGGTACAGCTATATTCGAAAACAGATTCCTCTCTGACAGACACGCGTTGTTTCTCGGCTCATAATCCACTGCGGTCAGCATCAATAACAAGTAGGTATGAGTGGCTGGCTAGGTCAAGGCAGAATTCACGCGTTTCTCGCCACAAGGGCTCATGACCAATGACCGTCGGTATGTAACCGCTGATTTTTCCAATGTCTGCTGTTTGCCCGTTTACGCGTTCTCATCCTGGAGGCATGCATAATCGCTTGCGCCGAGCACGCTTAGGCCCTGTGAGCCGCTTCAAATGACAAGGTTCCCCACTTGCGAGATTTTTTCCCTCGCACTCGCTCGACCAATTAGTTATGACAGGGATGAAGCAATCTTGTCCGAGCCAGCACATAAATAGAGACGATGTTCTCAATCCTTCTCCTTCCTTTCCGAGTTATCCAGCTACAGTAGTTATTTCATCATTTACTATTCCTCGATTGGAAGCATCTCGGTTGCACGACAGCACAGGAAATTCGAGTCACAATGGCCGCTATAGTTTCTTCGCCTCCCACTCTTCCCAGACTTGATAAGGCTCTGGAGATCCAGGACTTTAGCAAGAGCTGTGCTCTGTACGAAACCAATCCCATATATCACACACGTAGCTAACGTTTTATAGATACAACGAGCTTCTCGATGATGCGGATCAGCCTGCCGTTGCTGATGAGCACATTGAGAATCTAGCGGGAATGTTCGTCCGTCACAAGGCTGACAAGTTTCTTGGTATTCACTTGATCCACGGCCACTTCAAAATCCCCAAGAACACCGTCATGCTTGGGACCAACTTCGATAACAACTCCCTTCGATGGACGAGAATCACCAATATCAGCGGCATCGACCCCTCCCGTGTCCATGGGCATATTTTCGCCCTCACTCAGGACGGCTTGTGCGCGTACGAGTTACAAGATGGGCCTCTTCCGGATCTGTCCAGCGTTGGACCTGGATTCCTTGATGAGTTCCTCGCGTATATTCTCAACAACAATCTCACCAGCCTCATTGGCCTCCAAGTCCTTGGCTGCGGAGATGGCTCCATGGACGAGCTTATTCTAGATGAAGGAACTGTCATGGTGGATTCACTTTCTGTGAAAAACACTGTGCCGACCCGCATTACAGGCTGGAAATTCGAGACTTCCGATGGCAACCCACGTGTTTGCGCATCAAACGAAACACATGCGAAAATCAACACGGGTAATCACAGGGTCTTCAATGCAGGAAAGCCTATTCCTAAGTTGGAGAATGTCGAAGACTTGAAAGCCGCTCTTGCTATGGCCGGTGTCCTTTAGTGCTATGTTTTGTATCCAGTTGCCTAGTCATTTTCACATTCTCTTTTCTCTCTAGTTCATCTTATCATACCAAGTCCGTGAACCTCGTAGCTGGATTAATCAAAAGCCCGTCTAAATCACGCATACCATATGCTCCACTTTCATCATCATCAGAAATCGGTACTGGCTTCGGCTCATTCGGAAGACGACTTGTGAAGCCAAGCCACAACAGTACTCCAACAATCCTTGCAGCTTTAATGGTTTTGATCGTTTCATTGTCCACTCCGGTTTCTTGACTGAACGTGCTCCAGAAAATCTCATCCAAAAGGCGATAATCATCATACCTAGACCAGCCATGTTTTAAGTGGATCTTACTTATCAAACGATCATGAGCGTAGAGATTTATGCCGAATGGAGCAATCTCAGCTTCGGCCCAATCAATCACGCCGAGCAGATTGCAAGACTTTTCGTCCACCAGCATGTTGAAGGAACCAAAATCATTGTGTAGTAGCACCAAAGGAAGTGAAAAGATAGCCGGCAACGAGTCAAGAGACTTCTTGATCAATGGATGGAATCGAATGGGGAGAGAAGTAAGTAATAAGTTCAGGTCTCGTTTGTACTGATGACACAGACTCTTGCGGTACGTTTGATCAATATCCTGAGGACCTTTCCAAGATAGAGCAAAGAATCTATATAGTAAGACATATAATCAGTATATATATCACGTAGAAATGAATCACATACTTTGCGTTGTCGGCCACAAGATTTTGGCGCCAGTGAGAGAACTCGAGCGAGTTTTCAGGTACATTACCGTTATAGGCTAGAATAAAATCCAGGTAAGAGATGCCTGGCATTCGGTTCATAACGTATATGTAAAGAGGTTCTTTACTCTCATGATCTTCCCCAATCTGTCCCTTAAAGGAGATCTGGGGTGTCAAGGTACCGTAAATGGCTTTGACGAGGTTCATAATATCCATGTTCAGTGCTAGGGACTTCAGACGATACTGCATGACGAATTCGGCGTTAGGGCCAGCATAGACGGTATAGCTACATACGCCTTGCACGTCGACTGGAGTGACATTTCCACCAAGATGCTCACTCGCATAGTTGTCACAGGCTGAGCGAGTCGTCGTAGTCTTCTCGAAGAATGCGACAATTTCTTGTTCAACCTCGTAATTCATATCGATGGTAGCCGTGGTTTTGCGTTCGAAATGTTTGAAACTAGAATAGATTCAGTAGAAGAGCTGTTAGGAGGAAACCAACTTAACAAAGCACAAGAATGACGAGAGGAAGAGCGGTGTGCTGACAAATAGGGGCTGGGGGCTGGTTTGCCAATCT